TTATCTATCACACTTTCCTGTGCTTACAAAATTGGCAATGCTCCAAAATCACGCACATTCTCCTACCTCCCTATTTGCTAAAGATAATTTATTTTAATACAATTGGTCACTTAGGTCACTTACAAAGAAAGTGTACTACTGTGATAATTTGAGCTATATGAATATAAATATATCATTATCAATTTCTTTAGATATGCGATTCCATATTATATTCCCTATTAATCAAATTCTAAAACGTATGCATTTTTTTACGAAAAAATAACGAGCACAAATATTCATAGAAAATGTTAAAACATTGTAACTTTTTATGAAGTATATAAACTTAATATTGTCAGAAGGAGCACTTAAAAACTATTCCAAAATAACACAGTATGTAACAGAATAAAACTTTGATGCTTAAAATGTTTAGGAAGAAAATGGAATACTGGTGTGTATTTTTTTAAACTACCAATACTAGCCATATACAGTTTACATAACACCCTCATCTTTCAGGCAGATAATCTTCTTTACAGTTAAAGTCCTGTTACTGTAGAGCCTATCTCTTCTTTTGAGTGTATTGTTTTACACTCTACCATAATTCCCATGATATATAGACCACCCAAACCTAATAAGCCTTTTTAGGTGTGTTTGCTGATTTACTTTCATTTTTATGCTTCAGATTTAAGAGTATCTGTATTCTTGGGAACTTTAATATACATATTGACTTTTGGTCTTTCAGTTTAACTAAGTATTTTCTAGCTCTGTTGGGATGCTTTGATCTACAGTTTGTTCTTAGCCCAACACATTACAAAATTACTTTTTTGTTTTTCACTTCACTTTCCTCAAACTAGGCCTTGCTGACCACTTAACTATTCTTTTAAATTACCTGTTTCTAACACTTCCACTTCACACTGTATAAGTTTAAGATTGGCCTAGGCTTACAAATTCTTTTCTATCCTCCATATTTTGTTTCTCTACCTCTGATCCTCTAGAGCTGGGGTTCTTAACCTGGGGGTCATGACCAGGGTCGCGCAATAGGCAACAGAGACAGAATTAACCAAAGGTTAACAGACACACTAGGGCGATAATAGGGACATGTACGCTGGTTCAGGGTGGTTACACATCAAAGGACAATAACAGAGGTAAACAATTAACCTGCACAGTTAAATTATTTACATTAGCAGGGCGACTTAGTGGTCAGTCTGCAAGCCCACAGACCATCCCCTGGATACAACTCCCAGCCTGCTCTGCGGTGCACCCGGCAAGAGAACTAGGTAGTCATGATTAGCTTAGCAATGGAGTGTTTTTTAATAGGTGGCACTTGAAGAATGAGAGGTAAAGATAATGCGGAGAAATGCACAGCAGAAAACTCTGAACAGAAAAAAAAAAATTAACGAATTGAGAAAATACAACGAAAAGTACCTAAAGTATGGATTTACACAGATAAGTGATGGAGAGGATTAAGAACCGCTATCTGTGGTTTGTGGCGAAGTGTTGTCTTAGGAAAGTCTCCAGCCCTACAAACTGCTACGCCACTTGAAGACCAGACACTCAACATTGCAGTATAAACGTGTTGATTTTTTTTTAACTAAAGCTACAGGAGCTAAGAAGCCAACAATCTACCCTCCAAAGAGCCACCACTGTGAACCAGAAGGCACTTCAGGTGTCTTTCGTCATAGCTAACTTGATTGCCAAAACTGGGAAGCCAGACTTTTTTCTCACCGTGAGCTAAGGAATTAGCTAATATTGATACAAGTGTCAAATTATACCGTGTCTTACCGCATTGGGCATATGGAAGAGCAGGTGACTGCAAAGATAAATTTAGTGTTTATTTTTCTTTACAACTTGGTGAGACCACTGATGTCTCCGGAGATGCACAAATGCTTGTTTACAGCAGATTTGTTGAAGTGGGAGAAATTAATGAGGATCGCCACTGGCGATCAACTTTTGGTTTTGCTGGACACATATATACGTGAGTATGAAATTGACTGGGACAAGTGTGTGGGAATCTGCTCAGACGGTGCACGAGCAATGACTGGCAAACACAATGGACTAGTCACCAAAGTACAGGCCGTTGCTACGTTTGCTTTCTGGACACATTGTATGATTCATAGACAAGCCCTCTCTGCTAAAAAAATGTCCCCCGAACTCAAACAAGTAATGGATGAAGCTATTCGAACTGTAAAATCTATCAAGGCAAGTGAAACAAGCACATGATTTTAAAAGTAGGCCAGTGAAACAAGCGCACAACTTTAAAAGTGTATTCAAAAATTTAGTGTAGGATTACTGGAGAGGCAAGCTTTTGCTATTACGCACCCGAACTGTGGAATAGTATTCCTTAAAATATTAGAGAGGCTGGCTCTGTGAATATTTTTAAATGGCAGCTCAAAACTTATTTTATGACTCTTGCTTTTACATAATTTTTCTTATATAATTTCAGTGCTATTTATGTTGTTTGTGCATAGTTCTTTTAATTTGTCATTGTTGCTTATTTTAAGTTGCTTAAAGTTTTTTGTAACTAACTTTTTTGTAACAAGCACTTTGAGTTGCAAAAAATTATGTGAAAGGTGGTATATAAATAAAAATGAGTGAGTAGGGCTTACAATTTATACAATGTGATGATTTTTAAATCTGTGTGTGTGTGGAGGAGGGGGTCGCGAAATAATTTTAACCCCAAAAAAGGTCGCACTCACAAAAAGGTTAAAAATCCCTGCTCTAGAGGACAAAATACATTTTCTTAGTAGCACTCTTTTATCTACCTTTGAAACCTCCATTCCTCTAAAAACTTTAACTTTTCTCTGCCCCATTATCCTCATGAATGAATCCTTGAGCATTGGTGTTGTACAAACAGTCCTTAAAATAGCCGCCATTATCCCCATGCCAAAAAGGCAAAACATGGCTCTGGACAACCTTAAATAATTTTGACCCCTTCTCCAACTTACCTTTTCTTGCAAAAATTCTAAAATGTGCTGTTACAATTCAGTTAAATAACCACCTCTTTGCAAATAACCTATTCAAATCCCTCCAATCCATCTTCCGACAACTTCACAGCACAGAAACTGCCCTGGTCAATGTTACTAATGATCTTCTGATAGCTTCTGATTCTGGTTCTCTTTCTATCTTCATTCTTCTTGATCTCAGTGCTGCTTTCAACACTGTTAACCATGATATCTTACTTTCTCGCCTTGAGACTATGTTTGGGGTTTCTGACACTGCTCTTAAATGGTAGAAGTCTTACCTCACTAACTGCTGTCACTATGTTTGTCTTGGTTCAAAGGTTTAGGTCTGAAATTGGATTTGTTAAGTCTGGTGTTCCTCAGGGCTCAGATTTAAGATCACATTGCTTCAATTATCATCTCTATGCTGACAATTCTCAAATCTACATTTATACCACCCCTGACACAGATAAAAATATGAATGACTCAAAACTTCCCTAATCTAAACTGTGACAAGACTGAAGTCATGCTTATTAGCACCCGCATCAACTTTGTAAAGCCAGTGCTGTAACCCTATCTGTGGATGGTACTGTACTTGAACGTCAGTCTAAATTGAAAAACCTGGGGGTGATATTTGATTCAGCCTTGATATCTACACTCTATGGGTTACAGGGCCCTCTCCTGTTATGCTCCAAAGTTGTGGAGCTCTACCCCTTAGGATATCCTTCACATCTACACTCAAAACCTCCTTCTTTAGAAGGGTCTTTACTTAACTGGTTCTGTTTTTACTCTTCTGCTCCTACTGTATTCAGTGCCCACATCTACTGTCTCCTCTCACTGTGTATTCTCATTGTGCATATCTTGTGTATTTTTATTGTTGTTGTGTTCTGCAAAGCACTTTGAGCAGCCAACTTCAAGGGCACTATATAAAATAACGTTTTTATTATTATTGACCTATCCATGGCCCCACCCTCCTTAGATATTGTTGCTAACTTAGTCAAGCTTTGACCAAATTGATATTGAAAGCAATAAAAAAACTCAACAAAGCATTAATTTCAAATTTTTTCCAGTAATCTGTCTAATGTGGATTAGATTAATCTTTTTTTCTAGACTAATAATTAATGGCACAAATTTACCTACAGGTTTTTCTTATTTAATTTCTTATTCTGAATGTTGCTTCTGGGAGGCTACAGGAGATTCTAATTCACAGTCTTTAAACACCACCAAGTTAAACCATTTATGTAAACAATAGGCTAAAATATTCAATACAGATGCAGGAAATAATTAAGAGTTATAGGAAATGTTAAGTTAAGTAATTTATTTACTTAGTGTTAGCAATGTGCTTGGTTGCTACTACAGCGGCACAGGACTGAACTGTGTTTGGCTTTTTTTACTGTCCTGTACATGTTTATTTGCTTTTAATTACTGTATGTTACTCTCTGGTTAAAGCCACCAAAGATATATGTTTTATAATCCAAATCTAAAATAAAATGATCTATTACCTTGACACTTTTGAGGTTACAGGATATGACCATAAGTCATTCTTTGAGTTATTCAATACTACTGAGTAGTTTTTGTTTTTATGTTTTATTTGCTTAATACAATATACTTTTAATGCCACTAAGTATAATATATTTTACAATCAACACCTAAAATAAAATTATGTTTTCTAATTACTATTGATATGCAATTACTAATAATTCTAATAAATACTGTATTTCATTAACAAAAATGAAAAAATCCAGTTAATTTTACTGTACAATGTGATACAATATAACACAGTATGATAGGAAACAATATGTACAATATTATATTAGGGCAGGAAAGCAATACTGGGTTAAACCACTTATGTTTTCAAATGCACTAAGAAACAGCAGAACTCGGTAAGAAAAAGTATTGACTTTCAGAGTATGGAAACAAGTTATAGAGTACATTGTATTTTTTAATTTGGACACTTGGGGAAATAATGCTTTTCCTGTAGGACTTTGGACAAAAAATAACTGACAGCAAACCAAAGCTGGACTAGTGTGTTCTCAGTACCAATAGACTACAGGCAGGAGAGAGGAAAGAAAAGAGATCACTCACAGTTCTTGGAGTTTAGTAAGTGTTCTAATGGCCACAGGAAACTCCTGAAGGTTGTTGTAGTTCAGATCACTGCAATAAATAACAACAGACAAATAAGATAATTTAAAGCAATTTTGATTAAAAAAGACAACTGAAATATTAATAAGACAAAAGTACAAGAAAGATTTGTAATTTGTTCTGATACAGACCTAAAATATACCCCTTTTTACAATATTGTAACATCCTAAAGTACATTTTCTGTGTTTATATACAGCAGATTTTGGCATATTGTAACTTGCAACTCAAACACATTATCTCTGTAAAATAGATTCTTTCATACAAAAAACAATGCATGAAAGGGTGGGTGAAGGATAGGTGAGACAGACTTTGGTGACCTAAAAATCCATTCATGAATGTTTGTTACTTTGGTAATCACTTCAAGTAAAGTTTATATTGTACAATATTTTTCATCGCTTAATTGCTTAGCAAGAATAAGATAAGTCAATACATTAAATCAAATCCAAACAAGTGTTTAAACATAGAAAGCATTTACCATGTTTATGGAAGCATTCTCAAAATGCGCTACAACACTGGGCATGATATGTTTTGCACCACTCCTAAATCAGTGATTTATATCTCTCTTTTCATCTTCTGCAGGAATGTCTTCCACTCTCCATCTTCCCCACAAGTTAAAGGGAACAATTACAACAAAATCCTTCATCTGAAGTCATCATTGTTAAAATAGCTCTTTGTTCATAAATGCTGTAAGTGGAATTTATAAAAAGTGCAATAAACAAGAAAAGCCATACAAGTAGACCTTTATTTTGTCTCTGGTCTCTCCTGAGAGGTTGAGCACAGTTGTCAGAATGACTTCTCTATAGGCTATCAAAATACACTGTTGAATACGCTTCATTATCCAAATAATTATAAGTCTTATCCTTCATGTTATGTATAAGCCTTCAAAACAGTCTAAATGTATTTCTGTAAAGGTTTCTGGCACACTGCCACTCCTCTTGAAATAAGGCAGAGAATTAGATGAAACCTGTCTTGGAGGTGAGCCTAGGTGGGTTACAAATTTGCTGTCTGGTAAATTACTCATTTCTATTAGGGTTTAGCACTTATGGCTAATTTGTAGAGCTTCATTTCTTCTATCCACTTGCCAGATGCTTAGATATCACATCTATTGAGGGATGTTTTCTCCAGTTGAGTTAGTGTGGGTTTAGGTGGTACTTTTTTTTTCAGGCATCATTGCAAAATATACCAGAATTCACAATGTTCTCAAAGTTATACCTTCGTGTTCTTAATGTCATATGTTTTTGTATTTCCTTACACTTATCTGTGAATAAAATTATAAAAAAGAATGCTGAATGTATTCATATTAATAATTATAAATTATAAATGTTAAATCCTTAATCAATCTTTGTTTCAGCTGACAAAATCGATAGTGTTTAGTATAACAAACCTAAATATTGGAGAAGCTGTACCTTGGAAATATTTAAAAATAATAAATACAAAGTGAAAACATAATAAAATTCTAATATAAACCATGGATGTAAAGTGTTATTTTTTGTGAGAAAAATGATAGTTTTAACCTGTAATTGTCTAACCCCATTTTGATTAAAATCTCAAATGCGTGTTTAAATGCCTTTACTGATTCACAATCTGACAATGCAATGTAAATCGTTATCTTTGCCTTCTAAGTCCCTTAATTAACTTTAAGCATAGCTTTCATACCATTTAGATTTATTTTTCATAGCAGGAGTGTATAGTATTTCCTCATGGGATACGATTTGGGAAGATTAGCTGGTAATCGTTTTTATTTTTTAATACATTTTAGAAAAGTGACATCTATACAAAAAGGCTGCATTTAATACCACTCGATAGTTATATTAATAGAGATAAGCTCTCTATTAAAGCTCAGATCAAAGATCAAACAGCAATATCTCACACACTGTGACTGATCTATGATCTGTGATGTGGTTGAGTGTGAATTTTGTCTCTCTAGCAGGCTAGTTGGTTACTGTGTGGTTCAGGCCGGCTGGCTGTTCCGAAAAATAAATAAAAACCGGTTTAACAACTCTTACTGTAGCTACTAAGCATTCTGTAGTTTTTGTTAACAAATTTATCAGTGAAAAGGGCACTTTTCCTTCCCCCCTACATCTCAGAGTAGAATAGGCGTACCTTCCAATGAAAGACAGTCCCCCTACCCCCCACGGATGTTTTCACTGCCTATTATTTGATTAGCTATTCAGAAGGAAAGGCAGTGATGTCACCGCGCCTGCAAGCATGCTCTTTAGATTACACGATTCCATATTATATTCCCTATTAATCAAATTCTAAAAGTATGCGTTTGTTTACTCCAATAGCGAGCGTATTCCCAGAAAAGGTTAAAACTATTACTTTTCTCACAAAGTATAAAAACAATATGGTCAGAAGGAACACATAAAAATGTTTCCAAAATAATAATTAAATTCTGAAAAGTATGAGTTACTTTTACTGTGATAACAAGCGCAAGTATTCATGGAAAATGGTAATCACATAACTTTGAATGTTTTGTGATATTTAGAAAGACCAACAAATTCAATATAGTGTCGATAATATTTATTGTCAGTAATAATATCAGAAGCAGTTTGAAATTATTCGTTGTCATTAATAAATGACTTAGCTTCGACCATGTCGTGATATTTAGAAATATAAAAAATGTCAATAAAGTGTCCATAATATTTGCTATTTTAGTTTTTCAAAGAAATGTTGCTGTATTTGAACACCCAACCTCACACTTATAAATCAGTCACTTAAGCCATCACACCACAGATGCAGTGAGGTAGTATAGTGCTGAAACAGTCATACACATATCAATAGAAAGTCTTATACTACTGTTTGTGCAACAGTACATGAATATAATTATATAATTATTAATTTCTTTAGATACGCGATTCCATATTATATTCCCTATTAATCAAATTCTAAAAGTATGCTTTTGTTTACTCGGATAACGAACATATTCGCAGAAAAGGTTAAAATGATAAATTTTCACAATGTATATAAACGTACAGTAATATGGTCAGAAGAAGCACATAAAAACGTTTCTGAAATAACCACATGTAAGACTTTAATGCTTAAAATGTTTAGGAAGAAATGGAATACTGGTGTGTATTTTTTCTTTATATTATCAAGACCAGCCATATACAGTACAGTTTACATAATATATTTATGTTCCTAAATTAATTTTGTTTATGAGCATGTGAAAGGCATGGTGAATCAGAGATTCTCAAGACTTACAGTACTTTATATGATTGGAAACGAATATGTGATCTGATCAATGAAGTGCTGTGGTGTTACTTTTTGTCAATGAAAAATTAAAGTCTTTTTGTTTACAAAGACGGTTACAAAGTTACCGTTACATGTGGACCAGGGTAATACTTTGAGTTTACAGCTTGTTCAAGGTCATTCATTATTAATACTATTAGTAATATCTTCGGTAAAGACTTTGATGCATAAAATATTCCTGCGTAATTAAAATATTTATGATAAAGGTGGTAGGCTGTGTACTTTTGTCCAACTGAGCAATCTTGCTTTCATAAAATATACCAACTTTTTTAATGTACAATGATTAACATGCTGTAACACAAAGTTTAAATTTAAAAGTCTAAAGAGTATACAACTTAAATTCTTAATTGAATAAAGATTGTCCCTCAGCAGTGATCAGGATTTGAAACTGGGTGTTTTCTAGTGACAGCTCAAATGTTGTATGTGAGAGGTTAAGCTTTATTAGTTCCACCTGGCAGTTTTATAAGGTGATTCCGGATACTACTAACATAATCTAATTTGCATATGGTAAGGCACGGTATGACATTAAATGACATGTTTTAATGCAACGCACCCACCACGTTGCACCCCAGAGTACCCCGCTCATTTTGAATGGCTGTGTCTGTATAGTATGCCCATTTTGCTTTTGAAAACTATTTTAGCCACAAGCGGCAATCCTTAGATATTCGTAAAATTGTGATACTTTCTATAAAAATGTGCTACATGATAGTTTGATACAATATCTAAAATAATAAGTAAAAAATATATGTGGTTATTTCTAGTAAAACTGGGGTCAAAAGAACAACCTCTATATTAAACTTATTCATCTACCTTTAGATAGTTAGTTAGATAGTTTTGGAAAAATTAGAGCCTACTTCAGTTCTTCTATTTTCTTCTCTCCTTTATATCAAATGGTATACGATTTCCAATTTAAGTTACATGTTCTTTTTTTTCTTCTTCTTACATCTGCTTAAATTAATACGGAAGCACATTGCTGCCACTAAGGAAAAACAAATCCTCACCCTTATCTTGTAATTACAGGGAACATATTTCATAATTACGAGAATTCTCTCGTAATTATGAGATAGCCAATTAACTCGTAATTACGGGAAAATTATCTTGCAATTATGACTTAGTAATTCTCGCATACTTTATGCACTCACGCGATAGCACAATTGTTATATAATACCTACAGTATATCAAGCAGGTAGCTACGTCAACATACATAGGCTTCAAAGGAACATATTAAAAGTTTATTCCGTGCTGAAAAGAGGAAAAATTATAGCCCTCACAGCCAAAACGTTTCTTTTCTTCTCAGCATGGAATAAACCTTTAACTTATTCCTTTAATACTGTAGCACTATCAGGTTCTCATGGGTTTGCACCCTTGCCACCCCCGCCACAGGTTGACCTTCCACCACTGGGGCTTGAACGCAGACCTCCGGTGTTACTTAACATGGAACCAGCCAGTTGAGCTAAAGGGAGATCTCCCCTCAACCCAGGCGCTGAGGTCCCTGCCATTCACAGGAAAGGGCAGTGACATCGCCGCTCTGGCAACCAGCTCGCACAACTTGTGATGTCGTCCATATCCATTACAATACCTATGTCGCTACATGCGGACTTACAGTTTAAAGCAGTGGAAGTGATTGCATGTGTAACTGATCATAACGGAATCATCATTGCTTTGATCTCTAAATCCCACAAAACTGGTACTCATGCTTATAATGATTCTGTTCATATTTGTTCAAAGTTGCAAGATTTCATTATGACTAAACCCCAGTC